GCACTCGACTTGTCTGCAGTTCGTGTTGGACGCCACCAATCGGAATGTACACCACGAAAGCTTCGTGCCCCGGAGAAGGTGGGCTGCTGAGAATACACAGCCATGCGCCCTCTAAGGAAACATGCTCCCAACATGCAGGTAATCATCACGACAAGCAGAATGTCGTGAATATCTCGGGTGCATCGGGAAGCAGCTTGAGGCAATCGCATCTCAGAGTGTCGACACCACGACAGCTACAGATGGTCCAAGCTTCTGTGACCAACAGCTCGCGCAGATCCAGGGACAGCTCCTGCGAGGATTCTGAACCATCAATGTCTACTGTCTCACGACTTCCAGCAGACAGTCTCTATCAGCAGTCTGCTAAGTTGTAGCAGCCACGTCGTAAACCATGGAAAGTTCAGCCTTGGAGAGTAGAATGATGCAAACAGTATGATGACTCGTTTGCTCGCGCATGGCCCATGCTGAAAAACAGTTCTCGGCATTGAAACGCCTGAACATCTCCTCAGTATGCTTTCTGCAGGGTTGTGATCCGCCCCGGCGCAGTCCCTTTCCCTCGGGCAGTACGGGTCTCCTCAGCGGTCTGATCCCATACTTCGATATCCTGCGTCATCCACGAGGCTGGCATCATGACCCCAGATGCCACAAGAATGATGCGATAAGGCTGTGTCAGGGGATGTGTACGGTTGAACGGCGGCCTGACGCCTGTTGTGCGTTTCCACAGGTCGAAAGCGAGTAAGCACTACCTGTCTCCCTACACGGAAGCTACATCTGGATCTGCTTCGCTGCGCAAGCAGATAGCAACAAGCACAACACGTGTGTCTGTGTGTGTGTATAGTCTTTAAGTTAGACATGACAGGCTTGTGTGGTTTACCTACTTGGCGGTTCATGGGTGGTTATAAGGTAGGGTTATAAGTCTCCTAATCTAGGCTATAACTTTAGTTAGCCTACTTATAACTCCACTTAATAACTTTTCACGAACCTCCAAGTACTCTGTAGTTCATCGCAGCCTCTGCTTCTTTCACTTGGGGATAGCGCACTCAGGTTCTCAGGGAGTCTCAAGCAGAAACCCTGGCGACGTTATTACTTTCCGAGAACACGGAAGCACCACTAAACCTTGCTTCTTTCTGTACTTCAGCCATGATCAGCATACTAGCGCTGCTTGCTCGGCTTGTCGTTTTGCTATTCATGTTCTTGATGTCCTGGACATCTACATTCGTAAGACCACGATTGTGTAACCGCCGTTGTTGTCATGGTGGTTACAACTGCTGATGGAAACTGAGGTCCACGAAACACGTGCCTTCAGGGCCACTGTACCGTCTGGATACGTTGAGGCAAGGTGAAAATTTGTAGCAGTAACGCCGAAGTTTAAAACCTCAATTTAAAACACCCGCAGTCACAAACTTTGAAGCTGAAAGCACCCAGGCCCTCGTTTAAGATGCTTGGATGCTAATCGTCTAGCCATTCCACCGCCGTTAATGCCGTCGTCATCCTTAACTTATCATCGTTGCATTCACCATTTTACGAAGAGCATTGGCAACCACCGAAGCCACAGCAAAATCATTCAAGTAGTGCGGTTCCAACCGCAGAATCACATGAATGATACCTCCAACTGGGTCCTCCCGGTCCAGGCTGTCCTCTGAGTCGCCCTCGGCAGACCTGGCATGCTCTGCTTGCGTGGCTTCTGGGTCGAAGAAGTTCCAAAGCATGGTTCCAGGTCGGGATCTTCTCGACTTCATGACTGAAATGGGGTAATGGCTTATTGAAAACATGCATCCCGTTGTCCCTCGTACTCGCTCTTAGGTTCATTCATCGACCTCCCCGTGAAAACAGCGGTCGACAGGAATGTGCAGCCGAATTTGCCGTCGTGTCACCGGCAGTTGCCATTCTGCTACCCGGCTCTCGTGGCCTGAAAACGCGAGCTGCGCTGCGGGTGTTGTGTCGGCCACCTGTGGTCGAGAAGCACGACAGGGTCTGTAGCCCCTTGCATTAAGCCTCACGGCCTGTGACGGGATGGTGCTGTGTGGCTCAGTAGCTTTGTGCGAGTCATAGGATGCAGTTTGAGCTTGGCCGAAGGCCTCGATTTGCTCGCTGTCGGTCAGTGAGGTCGAGTCTGGCTCTTCGTCTTGTTTTTCCACTGCTGCACATACCTATATGCCTGCAGTTTTTCTCATCTATCTGCCCATGGAGTTCTAGCCATCTACATATCGAGCTGGATTTTTCTACCTATGACTGTGTTGTTGACCAGTCCAGCCGCACCAGTGCTGCGACATGCTCTCCTGACTGATGTGTGGCAACAGGCACCTGGAATCGAGACGAAGGCCTGCCACGCGCAGTGGGCGCCTGGTCTGGAAAGAATCTCATTCTTGTTGCAGGCTCTTGACTTATATATATATATATATAAATAAACTCAAAATGCGGAGGAGCCAGTTGGTCGGGGCCTGAATTTCACCAACTTCACAACTAAACCCTCAACACTACACGGAACCCGTGAGATCCCGACGAGCCGTCTACGGAGCTTCCCAGCTAGTCCAGTACTATACGGCAGTAGATAGCCAGTACAAAGGGTACAGCAAACGATGCTGCAGCTGGTCCTGCCGCAGACGATTAAGGCTGTGACTTGTACGCGCTAAAGGTTTTAGGGTATTTGACGTTTGAGGTCTTACGAGCCTCAGGATCATGCCAGACTCACACCGTGATGTCCATTGAGCTCGTCACATCAAGGTCCTACTGCAGCTGGCTACAAGTATGCAGACTTGACGACAGAAATAGGCGATTTCTCGTTACACGTCCTGAGATGTTCGGTTCGAATAAGATCCAGTGCGAACGACACTTGAGAGATGTCAGAAGGGCCTTTCTTCCGCCAGAGGGCTGCGCGTCCGTGATCAATCCATGCTTGACCATCAGAAGCCAGAGCTTGTCAGATAATACTACACTGTTTTCTTTACAAGTGCAGTCCCAAGAGAATTGCTGGCAGGCCTATTGCTGCGGCCACCAAGGCGGTGACCACACTGCCTGCCAATCACATCCCAAAAACCGATGCAGACGAACACATATTTCATACTTGTGCGAGCAAGGGGCGATCTGCGACCATTTGGCAACCGGCAACCACGACCCCAGACCACTCCAAGATTGGCCAAAACGGTGCGAAGAACGCCGAATAGCTGAAGCACTCCCGCTTAGACAGCTGTGCTCATCTACTCGGGGCCTTAGCTTCGCTGCTTACCATGCGACCCAGCACCACCGGCAATACACCCACTGCGAATCATCCCTGCTTAACAGCTGAAGCTGTCGAACCTCTGAAGACAGCAAAGCACCGACAAACCAGCGAGCTACGCCCAAAGCAGGAGCATGTCCTAACACCTTTAGTCAGCGGTTTCCGCGCCTCTCCGAACGCCGTTGAGAGCACGAGGCATGCCTGCCCTGGTCACAATGGGGACCCATGAATGTGTGGCATGATAGTGCAGCTACTGTAGAGAGCATGGCAACTAAGTGGGCTTCACGGATTGCGACTGACGGCACCGAGTGGCAAAAATCTGCAGCCCAACTGCCTGAAAGGTCGGAGCTGCCACGCGAGAGGCTGCAGTGTGCTGGCTAAGTTGCTCAACACTTGACTCGTGCCTCGCTCCGGGGAGCTAATCTGAAACCAAAATACATCTCACATCTTAGACTTGAACCCGAGTGAAGAGTGCACTGTGACAAAGTTCTGCACATGCTGCATCACAAGGTGGGTTGACTTGCACCTGACATCCACTTATTGGATTGAACTTTGTCAGTCAAGCTCTTCCAGTTGACAGGTCTTGAGCCATCCGTGAGGAAGATGTAAGAGACGCAGAGCCAAAGGTCAGACAGTTCGTTGGAAGGAGTGCGGCCGCCTGCAAATACCAAACTGCTCGAACATCGACACGAATCATGCTGCTACCATCTCACATCCCTCTTTCGTGAAGGTCCACAAATGAAGGCAAAATCCACACGAGCTGGACCACAGTCTGGGGTCTTTTTCTTGCTTGTCTACTCTGAATCCTGACAGTGCGTACAGGAAGCCCAATTTCCAGCTGGTGTCCCCGACTGCCACATGTGGGATAAATACGAAGAGAAATTCTACATGTTTGGATTTCAAATGCTACTGCTGGCAGCATGAGTATGAACGTTCCTCGTGTCTTCTGCTTACTTCTACTTTTCTACAACGACAACGATGCGACCACTACGCCTGGCTGTTGTTGTAAGAAGTGCCATCCGTAGTATGCGCATTGTCGCTCTTTCCACCAATGCCATACCTCTTCAAGCTTTCTTAGCACTTCTCCTGCTTTATGATTCAATCCCTCCTTTCCAGGACAGCTCTGGCTACGATGGGACCGATAGGAAAAACCAAAACCCTGAACTTTGGAACCTAAATCTTCATCAACCCGAAGCCCTAACCTCAACCTCAAACTCCTCAACCTATAACCCGAACCAAGAACCTCAACCTCAAACTCCTCAACCTACAACCCGCAACCGGAAGCTCCAAAAACCCCAAAGCCGCGAGGGCCGCCGCTCCTCTCGGCTTCGGCCCCGGAGTCTTCGGGAAACTCCATGGACTGGACCTGCTCAGTAGGCCCGGGGCTTTCCTT